ATAATATAATATAATATTATATAAAATTATGTTGTTACAGATATATGCAACGCACGTATATCACGTGCATTAACTAAAGTAAAACATCCGTTGTGCTTTTAGAAAATTATAAGATACATTGTTAATGTTAAATATTAGAAATATTATCAATATTGCGGGACATTTTGGTAAAATTGCAAAGTACATGGGGAATTGCGCGTATATCGGTGCGAGATAGAGGGACGTTTGCGTTATAATGGCGACCAAAGTGTATCAATGGGACACTCCAGTTTCGATGTAAAACCGCAGCTTGGCGTGACACCGAATTACTTTAGGGCTCTCGAGTGCCGAACTCTAACGGGTCGTGTATGCGCGCGTTGTGCGTGACCCAGAGTGCAGCGAAGAACGGAAGGAGGCGGACGTCCCACGTGACGGGTCGAGGACCCTCGACGTCATCGCTACAGAGGCGTTACTTCGGTTTCCGATCACTCGAAACATTTCGAAAAGAAAGACGAGGAGCTCGCACCTAAGCGTCAATGTTATGTGAATTTTGGACGAGCGCGATTTTAACGGGCACACCTTTTTATAGTATCTTCTTAACAGGAAGATTATATATGTGTCTATTCTATTCTCGATTTAGCGGCCATTTAAAGCCCACTGTGTGAACTATTTGCGTGAAAAATATAAGTAATTTTCATAAAATAAGGGAATATGTGATAATTAAAAGTATTGCATATATATGAATTATGTATTATGTTTTTTTTTAAATATTTTTAGATATAATATTTTATTTATTATTTCTCTCTCTCTCTCTCTCTCTTTCTATTACTATAGCCTTCAAGATTATATTTATTACATTGAAGGGGAATATAATTAGTATTATTTCTAAAAATCTTTGTGGGGAAAGAGCGTCATCTATGTAGTTGTCTCTTCAAATCGAAATCTCAATAACAGCTACTCCACAGCATCAAACTTGCAGATAAGTGGGATAGAATAGCAAGGCCGAGGGAAGTTTTGAATTATCGGCAAACTGTCATCAACAGAATGGAAGAATAAATGTGAAGCGAGAAGTTTCGTCTCAGAGTTACGACTATAGATGTTATGTGATTCTTCATTTTAACAAAATCATTTAGTTTGATTTTATGTCCAATAAAATTTTAGGCAACCAACAAATTTAGAAAGCCAAATAAATCTCTTTACTGAAAATTGTGATGTTAACAAATGTAGCATGATTTTACTTTTATCTTTAGTTTTTCGATATAATATACATATAATTATAGAATTGACATTGTTACATTATATATTTTGCTTAATATTTTTATTAATAAATTCTTATTAATATTTTTATTCTTTAATATATTCTGTTTAATGCAGTCTATGCTTTATGTATATTTTTTAAGTATTATAATTAATGTATGATGAGATGTATAAATATTTTCAGGTTGCAAAAGAGGAAGGCCATTTTAATTTAATTTTTTTATTTTTTAATATATTTATGTTTTGTATATTAAAGTATGCATCAACTTCATGAAAGTATCTGTACAATCTTGAGTAAAGCAAAGTATGAATGAGAAGACTCTAGAAAGAAGTCTGATGCAAGTCACAATACGCGAACTTCTTTTCGGGAAAGACTCGTTGGTAGAGTTTCATTCGCATTAAATTGGTAAATTCTGAATCTGCCTGCTCCTCTTTTTCGCTTTTCTCGCGAGTCCTTCCTTTTAAAAGGATCCCCACTAACTCTCGCGAAATTCCCCCTTGGCCCACCCTTTGCGTTCGTTCTTCCTGGGAGCAACTTATCCAACCTTCTTCCTTCTCTACGTTTCTTCCTTGAACCCTCCTTTCTAAGGATGTAAGGTTTTACTTCCAAGAGTAATATAACAAGGGCAGGAGAGGTAGGTAGGGGCGGGTAAAACGGAACGCGCAGACGAAGTTTTATTAATTTCGAAAGTTCCCAAACTGATAATTAGATCCCCGTGGACTCGGGTGCCAAAGGCGAAGGAACTTAATTTCCGAAACGACCGGCGGGGCGGTTTTCTGTTTGGCTTTTACAAGATTCCACCGGAACGATCTTGTCATCGGAGCGAGGATTACCATACTGTTGATTAAATCATGTCAGCGATATTCACCTTTCTTCCGGCAAACGATTGTCGATATCAACCAGTTTTTTTTTTCCGGTTGTTGTATTATCGAATAATTGCTAGATTTGTGAAATATGAATAGGTTCTTACAGATATTTTCAATATAAAAATATTGCATTTTTTTTTACTTTGCTCTTGTTGACATTTAATTAATTAGGGTATTATTTTTAAATATATGTGTAAAATTTTTTGACATATATTCATAGGAATGCAAATCTTTTAATTCGAACGGCGAAAAATGTTAGATTTCGAGGAATTCTCGCTTTAATTCTCATTACACACGGCTCTCGGAGCCGTCGTCGTCGTGATTCTCGATTCGACGACGTGCGGATGAGCATAATGCCGCGTACACACACGCGCACGTCTGTCTTTCTTTCACCCCCGTTCTAGCAGAGAACACAATCAGACGTAGCTGTATTCGGTACTGCGAATGTTGACTCGGAGCATATTTGTCTAGCAATGGAGGAGCGTAGCCTGCAGGGGGTCGGAAGCGCGCGCGCACGAGCGGGGTGGTTCAAATATTGTGCCGTTTCATTGAGCACACCGTGGCGATCACAGTCGCATTATCTTGACGCCGTAAAAGAGAGAAAAACGACGGCGCGGGATCGATGTCAAGATGAATGGCTCTTTTCATCCCTCGCGTCGCGTCGCCGCGCTTTTCGCACGCTTTCCCGCTCTCTCGCGGCTCTCGACATCGTTAGCGCCGTCGTTCGCGGGGCGAGTTTATTTTTTTGTTACACCCGGCATTAAAATTCTCCCGAACCAGAAAAATAATAATGAAAAATAATCTCCGCGGCGTAAACCAATCACGAGAGTAAATTACTTACAGGGAAATGAGTGTATAAATATTTAAGCGCGATACTCGTAAATGAAATTCACCTTGACAAATATGCACCGCGACCGAGTTCGTAAATACGCTTGATAAAAACGATCGTGTAATATTTCGCGCGAAAAGTTATCGTTCGGTGGCCTGGAAAATTGTGACCCCGCTTGTGGCGCGATGTAATTTAAATTATACCTGTTTAACTCGCGATACGCATAATGTGCAAGCTACGTTAATTTCGTGAGAACAACAAATCGGGCACGGAATTAAATAATATTTTATATTTAATAACTTATTAATAAGAATATGAACCTTAATAGAAGAATGTTAACTCTTAAATCATCGATATTTTTTCCGCGATTAAATTTTGGTAAAGCCACATTTAAGTTTATCGTCTTGTTTCAAAAATGTAGTCGTCAAATGTGGGGGGAATCTTAAAAATGTAATTTAAAAAAAAATAAAAAACTTTTTTAAATAGATTTTTTATATTTTTACATTCCTTGGATCGCTATTGTTGCAGTGATCGTTAAGTAATTTTATTTTAGTATCGTATGCATTTAAGAATCTTGAAAGAAGATGACAAGGTGCAAAATTACAGACAGCTGACTTCTTACAAATTCAAAATAGAGACGTTAGACGCGGCTCCCTTTAACCAAAGCTCGAATTAAATTCTGAATAGGTGTGTGTTTCGATTTGTTTCAGATTCCCGTCGTGTAATCCCGTCGTTACGAACTTACGAGACGCGGATTATACACCGCTAGGCAAACCCATAACGCAAGCCTGAATTCCGGGGCGCTCCCAAAACGGCGAAGCGGACGATGCCGACGGAGGAAAGGGGAGACCCCACTATTATGGGGTCCCGCGATTCTCAGCAGCAGCATACCCTGCTAGGTATATGTAACTACTTAAACACCACATAGTGTAACACACGTAGTTCGCTTCGGGGCAAGGACGAAAGGCGGATCCAGCCGGATCCAACCAACCAGCGGCGAGAATTTCCATTTTAGCTCCTCTCGCAGGACCAAACGTACGCCGAGCGTTTCCTGCTCCTCCGTAAAAGTCCTGCAGCTACCATAAATCCGTCACGGCTGCTTGCGCATTACGTCGCATCTCCCTGAATTCCACTCAGACTTCAGCTTCAGCAACTTTGGAGAAGAAGCGTAGCTCTTTGCGCGATGATTGCGAAATATAAGTAAATTTTGACAGATAATTTAAGAAAGCAGCCTTTCTCTATTTTTGTGTAAATTATTTGAAATAGATGGAATAGAGTTAATTATAATTGTGTACCAATACGAATTAATATGTTTATTTTAAATTGTCTAAATATGAATATTGTTATTTATTTAATTTATATGCTAATTTATCGTATGTGTATTTAATTAGACTGTTTTAATATTGCATAAAATTTTATCATATGCCACATTGTTTATCTTTGTATTGAAATTATTTTGTTTAATTGCAAATTTGCGGAATTAAAATTCAACTTTATATTGAAATTGTTTCCAAGTTTTATTTGAATGATTTCAGGTTGCATTGAAATGTCGACAGATTCACGAAAAAGGTAAGATCCACGATGACATCGAATTTTACCGCAATTATGTAGCGTTTGAAGGCAATATCGCGAATTCACGCTCGACGAAGCATACGCTCGTCTTCCCTTTCTAGACCCCACTTCTTGGCGTCTACTTGTGCTACCTCTTCCGACAAGAATCCACCGACTCAAGTCGTCCCGATGATTCAACTCGATGCGTCGATGTCGAGTTTTCTCCTGGGAGTTCCGCCATCTTACGCAATCCTTTTGAAATAAAATGGGAAGAAAAGAATATATTTTATGTAGAGTCTCTTCGTGATATTTGGTCTTTTTCAAAAATTTATTATGGCGAACAATTGTTGATCAAAGCTGATGAATATTGAAGAAACGTCGATAAAAAATTAATCGCTAACAAAAATTAATTGACAGAATTGATCATAAATTGGGATCCATTATATGAAAGTGTATTAATGTATTAAAAATATTTTATATATATCTTTTTTACAACTCTTGCGTTTACAAAATAGCTTGCGCAAAATTTTAATTTTCGAATTAATTGGTAACTTAAAAAAAAAAAATTAACATTACGAAATATTTATTTTCTTTTCCTGAAAAGAAGCTTTAAGCTAATTATGTTGTATATACTTTTGCATATATGTATTTCTTATTACTGGAGAGAAATTTTCGAGAAAGCTTCGACTGCATTTTCCGAAAGGTATACGCGAATGCGCAGGGCATTATCATCAGGCACAGCCCGGTAACATCAGAACTCTTGTGGATGGAGGGGCCCAATCTCGCGCAAAAACTGGCCGACAGCTGAGTGTACACAGGGGCCCGCCGTGGCGTTCTGTCTCTCTTTCGTTCCCCGCACGATTCGGGTTCTAGCCCCGATCTCTCGTTTCTCGTCGTCGGCGTCCTTCTCGTATCCTTCTACACATGTCGGCGCACCTCGGACCTATGCAAACAACCGGCATTCATTGGCCAGTATTCACATATATATCGCCGGCATACGATATTTTACGTGCCGGGAACGTGATTTAATGGAAGGCACTGAGGTTGCGCTGTCGAATTATCTCCATAATAAAATCGCGCCTTCGTCTCGTCTTTGTCTTCCGCGAAACATTCGTTTTAGTGATAAAAATTGGCTAACGAGGCAAGACTCACACATATATAGATACATATCATTTTGGAATGTAAATAAAAAATTAATAATGTTATATTTAATCACGTTTTAAGGCTAAATAAAAAATATTTGCAAGATCTTTAATGACAATTAAACTATTTGTTTTATACAATCTTTTTGTATAACAATCTGCAAAATTTACCATAAATAATTCGAAAAAATTGTTGGACGTACAAAACGTTGGCAAAAAACATAAACCTACATTTTGATCAACCCCTTTTACAGACGTGCTGCGCGGACGTGAATTTCGGTTGGAAACTCGACAGCAATACTTCATGGCGCTTTGCTGCGACGCGGATAAAGCACCGCTTTTCGGGGTTGTAGGGGCAGAAGAGCGTAGGGTGGAGCCGGGTTATACGAAGGGTGACGGGGGCGCCGCGCGGCTATAGCTTGTAAGTGAATTTTATTGCGCGATTATATTGAATCCCTCCGAGCCACCAGTCGCTGTCAAGCCACCCCCTCGCTCTCGCAACCCCTCGAGAGGTTCTCTGGCGCGGTGCTCAAACATGAAGCACGTTAATTCGAGATTCGTCTGCGTCACTTCCTCGCACCGGTATAAGACGGTGTTTTACTTCTCTACTTTGTGTTACTGGTTACGCGGTTCCTCGGAAATGCGTTTCGCAGACTTTGTCGGAGATGAAGTGACGTCGCGTTTTCAAGAAGATTGCGTAGTTCCTTAATTAGACCGTGGAATATTAATTTGCGAAATTTATGAATCGCGAGCGCGTAGAAAATATTGCTTTATTTAATGTGTCTTATGCAATACACAATATTGCAATAATGCTTATAATTACCGGATTATGTTATCTTATTTTGCTTTTTAAAGAAACAAAAAATTAGTTGCTCAGGTTTTTTTGCGCGATGCGATATTTAATCATTCTTCTAAAATACAGTAACGATATACAGTCCTTTTCTTTCTGGTAATATTATTATTTTAAAAATAAAATTATATGATATTTATTACGCACAGAATGATATATATGTATATATGTTTGTTATTCTGTGGCCTGTCTAGAAAAATATATTGCCAATAATTTGCACAAAAACATAAACTACAGCCGAAAACATCGTTATGAGAGCAATCTCGGCGCGCTATTTCGAGCATCATATCTCGGGACTTTATTTCGATGGTGAGCACCGCTTTTGCGCCCCGGGGGATGCACGATAGTCGACATCGGTGGATACCAAATCGAAGCTTCTGCCCATAGGGCTGTTTGCACGTTGGATCACGACCTCCATGGCAAAATTCACCATGGCCAAACCACGGCATTCCCAGCGGTACACGACTCCTTACCGTCACAGAGATTTCTCCTTCACGAGCGAGCATATTTCTTGCGATTTGCCTTGGCATTCGGCAAACACTCCATATAATTTCCACGTACATTGTAATTTAGTAAAGAGAAAAGATATATATAATACGCTATATTGGATATGCAATTAATTCTTCAGCGCTCCACAAGATAAATTGAAATTTATACAAGTTTCATTTTGGATTTTTTTTTTTTTTAATTTGAAATCTATTTTTTTTTAACGAAATATTTATTTTATGGAGCATTTCTTTTCATAATTTCTTGCTTTCCAATATCCGACATTTTGATCTTTATTATTAACTAAGAAGAATATGTTTTTGTTACATGTATTTGTTCGTTTTGAACTAAATTGATAAAAAAAAAAATCTATTTTAATGTCTGAAAATTTTCGAGAAAGAACTCTTTCTTTTAGAAAACGTATAGAAGACATCCACGTGGAAGGCAAAATCGCGTAATATCGCGGTTATCTCTAAGGTTGAATTTGTCATACCAAAAATCAAAACTTGAGAAGGAATGGTCGGAGAATTAACTCACCCCGAACGCCTCCCGCCCCGCTTTGTGCTACCCCATCTCTCCGGGGGAGCAACCGGCTGCTGCCTCTTTCAAGAAAGACCAATAAAATCGTTGCAGGAAGCTTCTTCCTCCCATGTTGTAAGGATGAAGCTGACACTCCTCTCCGAGCTAAACTTCCAGCTCTTTTGGCGAATGGCTTCACCAAAGCGAAGTGATACATTTCGTTCGTGATTCATACCATAAGTTTTGCATTCGACTTTTGTTCCTCTTGCGTTTCTGTATATCTATGTGTGTGTGTGTCTTCTCGGACCATTTTAGAGTTGGCTGCGATTGTCGGATGAACGCCCGTCTGTACATTGGCTATTTGCTTTGTACAAGTATTGATAAGTATGCACGAATATTGTTTTTTAACCGTTTGTAATCTCTATACCTTTTTTAAATTGAATCATATAAAACCCCTGAGAAAAAAAGAATAACTTATTTATCATTTCCATTGTGTATTATAAGCTAAAAATGTTTATACACTTGCAAAAAAAAAAAAAAATATGATTACCCTTTGGTACCTCAAATTTTTAATTTATATTTATATTTTTCTTTTCGCTTTTCGTATGTCTCTTGTATGTAAATGTATTATTTTATAAGTATAGTATCTCTCTCTCAAGAGCCTTTATAATAGCCATTTTATTTAATATTGTATTAGCAATAACATGAGTTCTTTTTTTAATAAAAAATAATTTTAAGAATATATAGCAGTATTTATATGCACACACACACACATACACGTAATCTCTTTGATATCAAGTTTTTATTCGGTACCGCGGTGGTTAACAGCCGCATCTAAACGCAGCAGATCGGATGTGCGGGCGATTATAGTTCCGTATGATTTTTAATAAACACCGATCAGACAGCCAGATGTACCGTACGATGCTTGACTCGACCCGGTACGAAGGGCCACTCGTTCGGCTTATACCCGGTGCCACTCGTGACGTACAAAACTGACGGATGGACAGACGTGCTCTGTGCGTCGAACACATATTACGCGCGGGAGCGCGCCGAACAAAGCTACGCCATTGTTTCGTGCCGTCAATAATCCACTTGCCGCGACTTGGAGGACTTCACCGGGGGTGGCACAATTGGAAAAAGGCACGGAGGAACCCGGGAAACCGGGACGCTTACCCTCCGCGAGGTAGAAAAGAGAAGACAAACCGACGGGGTTTTGAGGTCAATCTCGTTCAAGGATCGCGATTGCTCCTCGAACATTGCTGTCGCGTTTCATTCAACTTAGTCAGAGCAATGGTTTGATGTTCTCGAAACATATTATTTGACGTTCAAATCAGTTTAAAGTACAATCTGTGTTTGCACACAATTTTATTTATTATACAGGGTGTCCCCAATTTAAATGTCAAAACTTTAGGAGCGTGTAGGGGACCGATAAGCTAAGACAAAAAGTCCTTTAGAGATTTGCTCGTTTTTGCTTCGTTTTGAAGAAAATCGCAAAAAATGAAACAAATAATTTTCACCAAAAAACTTAAAACAACACTAAAATTATTAGATTTATCAAAAAGTATTATAAAATAAAAATTGTAGAACATGGAATTAAGAAAAGAGAGTGAGTTAAAATCCTCCTAAGGTAAAATTAGAGGATTGTAGATAAATACGCGACAACGCAAAATTTTGTTTCTAATCTAATTTTACCTCAGGAGGATTTTATTACACCGATTTTTAAACAAAATTTTGTAACACAACTTTGCGTGACTATCTTATTAACTATTGAACCAAATAAAACTTTAAAACTTGCACCACGTGTTGAGTATTGAGTTGTGAATAACCCCCTAAAATGGCAGCACATACGGATCAAACGTTCGGAAATGCAAAGCGAGTCTCGAAATTTAATTGTTCGACGGTGTATATATCCTTATATATAGGTATTTATTTGGAAAAATTTATCAACAAGTTTACTTGTTCAATTTAACAGTAGAAACCTCTAGCCAGTAGTAGTTTCGTATTCAACTAATTTGATCGTTTTGCTAGAGAACAAGTAAGTTCGTTGATAAATCTTTTTAAAAGAAATTTTGTTTTTATGATTTCAAATAATTGAAGTATACAAAAAAAATATTACATATTTAAAATTAATTTTCTTGTATGATTTATTTATAAGCAAATAATATATATTGCAGTATAAAATATTTCCTTTAATATTTCATACTATACATAAAAACAAATACATTCTTTCAAAATT